CCGCCGGTAAATCCGTCGACGAGATTCACGAGGTACGTGTGCCGCACCCGTTGAATTTGGTAATTATTCGCACGACGCCGGACGTCGGACCAGTGAAGAAGTGACGTCGCAGAAAGAGGAAAAAAAGAATCGGGTCAGTCATCTTTTCCGCATCGAACGAACGACCGTCCAGCGGTATCGGACTGACCGGATCAGCCGGTTGACCTGAACTCCAACAAGAAGAGAGCCTTTTCGGGAGTAAAATTATTGTAAGAAATAGAGACAGTAAAATTTAAATTTATATATTTATTTTAATTATTTTATATCTGTGAATATATAGATATTTATAGTGCAAGATTTATTAAGAAAAATTGGGAATAACAATTGCTAGGTATCAAAAAGAGTTCCAGTTTATTTGCCTGTCAAAAAGATCTGTGACACTTTATATTAAATATATTAGGATTATGTAGTTATTTTGTAATTTACTCTAATGTAAGATGAATTAGGAATAATTTTAATAATCATCTATATAATTTTTATTATTTCTTTGTCACTTTTTTAAGTAAAATCTAGAACTCTTAAGTTTTCATTTAAAAGGAATATAAATATTCTTATTTGGAAAGAAATTGACAAAGGTTGCACCAGAAAAATGTTGTGACATTTTAAAATAAAATCATTACCGAACACGCGTAGAATGAAACTGAAAACATAAATTTTTATTCTAATTTATTACAGTGAAAGTAAAATTTTATTTATCGCATACAAGTCAAAACGCTTTTGTCCTCCAAAAATTAAATATATTATAAATTTTTTATAATTATGGTATTATATATGGTAGATACATAAGTAAGTATTATATAGATTTAGAAGTGATCTGTATTTTTTGTATAGTTTTAATTGCCAAGCTCTGTTTACTGTTTTATTAGAAAAAATATTTGTGTGTGTGTGTGTGTGTGTGTGTGTGTGTGTGTGTGTGTGTGTGTGTGTGTGTGTGTGAGAGAGAGAGAGAAAGAGAAAGAGACTGTTTTTGCGAATAAAATATAGAAATTCGTTAAAAAAAGAAAATACGTTTATTTAGAAATGTATGTCATTGGGTAAACTAAAATAGTGTATGTATAAAGTCATATCTATGTGATAAATATGTAACATTTCATATCTTAGAAATTTCACAATTTTATGTGATATTTTCATCACTCCGATTGCTCGAAAGAGCTTCTCTCGGTTTTGTAACGAGAATTTATTGTATATATGCCTGACAGACACGTTGCAGGTCAGGGAAATAAATGTCCTCGTTGCCTATGTCAAACGAGTTACACTTACCAACGTTGCAACTTGCAACTTGTACCGTGCGTTAATACCCCTAGAATTATCATTTCCTCACGGTGTAACGTAAAATTACGCGACATTCAATGAGACGATCAAGGTTGCGCTCACTGTTCTCACGGTACGTCGACCTTCGTCATCGTGAAATCATCGAAATTAACGTCGTGATGTTAATCGCAAATCGATTAATTTTTCGGAGCTAACGTCGAAATTTTTAACACAGCTACTAACGTTGTCTGTAAAACCCAATTAATTCGTGTTAATTAAAAAGGCACTAATTAACTTCAAGGAACCAAAATGACGTGACTTGTAAAAAAAATAATATTAAGTCTGCTTTGATAAAAATAATCCAATAGATCTATTGTCAATTCCGGAGAAGATTAATGCAAGTCGCGTGTCTAGCGTTTTTTGCGTTGAAGAGTAGTCTCTCGTCTCGACAACTTCGAATTTGCATCGGTATCACTCGATTACTTTGCTAATGCCGCGAGTAACGTGACGTGATCTTTTGTCATTCAGTTACCGACCGTTGACTGGCACGTACAATTTCGTAATTTGTTTGTCCGCACGCGATGAACTACCCTAAACCGAGCGAGGCTGAGAAGGCTCTCGCATAAATCATTGCGTCCATAATGTAAGTGTGACTTCGCAAAACAACCGTGGCAGCCCTGAACCTTGATCTTATCATCGTGCGTGTTTCATCGCGTCCGTTAATGATCGTTGTCGGCATAAGTTTCAAGTTACGAGAGAACAATTAGCGCCGACTTTAGCGTCGAAAGGAACAAATTGACTTTGGAACGATTCCAATAGCGCAAGTCGTACATTCTAATCGGGCGGATTGGGACGAGTTTATACGCGATTTTTCTCACGTCCTCAAGTCCAAAGAAATTGTATAACAGCATTTAAAATTTACGATCTCATGACGATTTCTCAAATTCTTCCCGATGAAATATTGGGGACATCACTGAAATAAAACACAGATGTTCGCCAGGATCATCACGAATAACGCTCAACAAAATTCCATTACACTATTGTGAAAGAATATCATTAATTGGGTCAACAGATATCGAAAGAAACTTTATGTAACTTATATAAATAAGGAAAACGATAACAATACTAACGTTAATGTTAAAATTGTATAATTTTATTGGATTACATTACGTTTGCATGATGTAATCACAGTTGCACTGGTATAATATTTAATGAAATGTTCTGTACAAGAGATAATTGTTCGATAAGCCCGTAGTGACTTTATCGTGTTAAGCGCATATGTATCACGCTATACGTGTAGTTATATGTGTATATATATATATTACATTAAAACTTTGGATTGTAAGATTTATCATTACGAACATTATAATTTCATTCTACATAAGTATAACAGAACAGAATTGTTATAAGAAATTGATGTTAAAATCAAATTTTCAATTCAATAACTGCATCTATATTTGGTTCATTATATGAGAATAGCACCTAAATATTAGAATATCATAATTGGGTTACGAAGAATATTGCGTCATTAATATCTATACATTATTATAATGGATTTTCACGATATTATTTTTATAGTTTTCTTCTCTTTCTCATAAATGTACTATATTTTATATTAATTTTTTCTTTTATATTAGAAATAATATACATTAAAAAAAATATATATATACATATATCTCTATTAATAAATACTTTTTGTAATATTACACTGTAAAAAATAAAATGTTAATTTTTTATAGTGTATAAATTAATATTGTAAAAGAGAATGATCTTAAGAATTTTTCCAAAGGAATATAATTATTTGTAATTATTTAGTTGTAGTAATCATCTTTGTAGAAGAATAATAAAAAAATTGTTAAATTTGACAACCAATGTTTATCAAAGAATTAAATTAAATAAACTGTCTATATCCAGATACTTAGCTGTGTAATCCTAGTTTACGTTGAAGGAGAAAATGTTTCGTGTTCTACGCATGTATGTTACGTTTGTAATGTCATAATTAGATCATATTGCGCGTATCGTGCTCTAAAGTAATTAAGTTGCGTAGAAAAGCGGCAATGATCGACGAAACAAACGCATTTCGACTGAATCATGGTTCCCAACCGCGACGATTTTCGATTGCTGAACAAGGTATTAGATTAGAGACACTTGTCAAAACCTTCGTTAATACTCGAATTCGAGCGACTCGTTTACCCATGACTAATTGGTGACCAGTTGGCATGCGAAAATTAATGCAAATACAAAATAAGTTCTTGCAAGCAATATGTCGAGTGTGAAACGGTGTAGGTCGGTGACATCGTGTTCTATTTCTCAAATGATCTTTGGCTGGATTTAATTAATACGAGCGTTGTTAACAGTAAATTAAACGAGATATGTATGTATAGTATTCTGTCGTGCGTAACTATAACTATATTCGACACGATGTGTAACGTGATTTTTATATATATAATATATATATATATCACCATTTTTTTGGGGAACGCAAGATTTTCAATAAAAAATGCGAATGTGTCTTATAGTAAATCGCATAATATTTTTGATTATTTCAGCGCAATGCTTTCAGTTTTTTGTGATATTTAATGCGATGTTTGTAGAAGGGAATAAAATAATAAAAGTCTATTTTTGCATTGCTAGACCGGATTTGGTATTACTACGCTTCCATAATCGTTTTAAATAATTTTAGAATAGATCTAAACACAAAGATACGTGTACATATATGAACATTTAAAATCCAGAAATTATTTTATATTTGTTACGGTTTTGAGGAAAATTTATTATATAAATATATAAACGGATCTTCAAAAATGCATTCTGTGTATTTTCATCTAATTTATTTTAATACTATTTTTATTTCTAAAAAATATGCAAAATAATATTGAATTATTCATAAGATATGAAGGTAATATAATTTATTTATTTAGTGCACGTTTTTCTAAGTTCAGATTGCGATCTTATCAATAACTAGTTTAATTAGAAATTTTTTATAGTAAATGCGAAATTAAATATAAGATATATAAAGATTAATTCCATTTCTAATATTTGTAAGAATGCTTTTTTATTATTTCAATGCAAAGCTAAATGACATGTCACATGCAAATTCGTTTTTCAATAATAAACTTTATACCGCAAATCATAGATGGGAATTTAATAACATTAACGAATTTTAGTTGTAACATTTATACAAATACGTAACATTCTTTACAGACAAAGTTTGATGTATGTGTTTCTTACTTTATGTTCCAGAAGAAAACAACGTCCATTTATGATTGCATTGAACGAAGAAAGGTAGCAAGTTGAGAAAAATATTTCTCGATCTCTGTGCGCGAAACTTTGCGACCCATATTCGCTCGAACACATTCGTTTTCTCAAGAAGCTCGACATCGAAAAACTATCGCATCGATCCTTTAATGTATATCCACGGAATCCAGCGTGCGATGTAACACGTTGTACGACGAAAAAGAGTTGGACTTAAAGTTCCGATCTCCGAAGACCGATCGGCTCTGTCAGAGCCGACTCAAGAGCTTTCTCGATCCGGCCGGGAAAAGACCCCTTCTCGAAGAGACTATCGCGATCCAACGAAACGATCGCGCGGACGTTCTCAGTGCTCAGAATCCCGCGATCCGTGCTCCTCGAGCGATCGAACTCGGTCGTCGTGCCTCAGACTGATCGACTCCGTGGAAAGGAAAACGCACAATCACAAAGAATCGCACACTTAGACGTTAAAATCGACGATAGCATAGTTCAAGATCCAATCGCAGTCATTAGATCATTCACCTTCACCGTTTGGATTCGTTTCGTTTCATCCATCTCTGCATTCTCACCTGATAGTCGTGCAACGTGTGATTTTATCGTCGCGACGATTTCCGCAAATCGCTCCATTACCGCGAAGTTCGCGAGGATGCTAACATCGGCGTCAAGTGCGCGTCCGTGCCGAGTAGCAGGTTCGTTCTGATCATCGATGAACGTGACTTGCGGTGCCGGGAAAGTGAGGCTCTAATTAACTCGTGTGTGACGGCCACAACGTCTACGTGCCACGTTGCCGAAGCGGCGGATCGCCCATTTAGGAGACCGAACCGGAGAGGCGGCCAGCTGTTAATCAGCAGCCACCGCGGTGGACATGATTATTTCAAAGGATCTGTTCCTCCTTGGCGACCAGGATTATCTGCGCCTTCCCGTCAACGAGAAGCGCCAGCAACGGGCAATGGGCCGGCCGGTCATCAATGCTCCCAGGTAAGAAGAGCCAGTTGACTATTCACGCTTTTTCTTCCTATTTTCACCTTCATTTCCACTTCAAATATTTGAAAAAATAAGACTAAAAGATTTCTGACAGTTTTTCAGTTCTTGAGTAGGAACTTTCTCATTATGAATTAAATTCTTTTTTGAGTCTGATATTTTCTTGGATTACTTTTAATTTTACATAAGTAAGAGTTCTGTCAATAAAGTATTATTTCATTTAAAACGATTCTGATTGAAATAAAAAAAGATTATTGACAACTTTATGTATAACAAAAACTGTAAAGTTGGCATCACGTATTTAATTTCGTTTATTTATAATTGCCAGAATTTTGTTTTAAATATATCGAGACTCCTTAGGCTCTTAAAACTCAGTTATATCGAAATTTTAAAAATGAAGTACTGATTTCCTTGTACAACTTTCCTTGTGTCTTGTTTGCATTGCGCAAATTTTCAAGATACTTTAAATATAAAAGATGGTTTTAAAATGTAAGAGAGAGAATTAATGATTTTAAAGTCTATAAGAATTAGATATTTGTAAAATATGAAAATTAAATGATGTAAGTCCCAACTAGTTTATTAAATTAATTTTTCATTCTCGAATTTATTAATAACCTCATGGAAATATTAGGTTGAAACCAAAGTTCATAGCGCTACGAACTTTAAAATTTAAATAGTTGTAACTTTGCCAAAAATAAACGAAATTTAAACGAAGTAAAGGATTTAAAGTTTAAAATCTTTCGAAAGATTACTATAGCTTTCGAGTTTCTGCAAGTGCGGTAATTTTTTTTATACATATATATAGAAAATTATAAGTTAGACAAAATAAGAAAATTTTCTTTTTACTTTGTGAGCCTGTCACGTGCCCAAAAAAAAACTTGCGAACATTTTTTGCTTTCTAATGTGAAAGCTTAAAGTGAAAGCTTTTCCTACAAAATCATTTTTTTTAAATATTCCAAACATTTTTTGTTACTGAGTTATTGCGAATTAATAAAGGAGCATTTTGACTTTGATTGCTTATAACTCTGATTAAAAAAGTTATCGTATTGCAAATAGAGAAACAGATTTTGAAATTAAAACTTTGCTCTACCGAATGTTATAATCGCCAAACATTTTATAAAAATTTATAGACATGATACAAATAAAGTAGCGCTACGAACTTTTGTTCCAAGCTAATATACAGTAGATCTAGGACACTTGGTACTGCGCGTAAGAAAGATACGGTAAGCTCCGAATTTAAGTGACATAGTTTTACGCGAATTTAAATATAGGCGAGCGATAGATATTGTCTCTGGGCGACGAGAGAGATTCCGGATAATAACTTTAGCCGAACGATAACTATGAACACACTTTGTGTTCTTTTATACATTCTTATAGTTCATATTTTTTGAAAACAAATTTAAAACGCATGTTTAACTACAAAATAGTCTGCTCCCTTTGTTTCTTATTTATATAAAATTGTATTAATTATCTAATAACTCCCTCATATAAATATATGAGTATTAGTCGTAAATATGTCATGTAATTATTTAATATCTGATAGATTTAAGCACAAAATAGCGATATATATGTTTTCAAGTGTAATCAAAAGCAGTAATTCAATCGCTTGAAAATTCATGTTATTAAAATATGGACGTCACGAATCGATGTTAATTAATTTAAAACCTAATTAAAGACTACATTTAAATTTGAAAATCAAACAGCTGATTTCTTAAAATAAAGATTCCGAATAAGTTTTTTAAAGAAATATGCAATTACTTATGTATAATATTGTATAAAGACTAAAAGCTCGCCGCGAGCGCGTGAAATAGCGTTTTTTCTACAATTAAAAGTCTCTCGATGTGTTGAAAAAGCAGGTTTATCGCTCTGTATACAGGATAACCCATGCACTTTGAGCGTACAGTTATCGGTTCGCGGGACGACCGTCGGTTTGATTTTCTATTAAGCGGTTTCTTTTTCCGCCGCGCGAATGTCACTTCTCGCATAAGGGAGTAGGTATCTCACAGGTAGAAGCGTTTGGCTACATGCGAATACGCGCGACGCGTTTCAAGCGGTGTGTTTGCGCGGTGTGTCGAGATCGGGAGATTTATGCCGGAACTAATCGATTCGCCGCGCTATTATGAGCTTTATGATTTTTACGAGAAAAGTGTGCTGACCGCGCTACACGTCGCACCTTCGTCTTTTCCTCTCCTTTTCTCTCTCGCTCCGTTTCCTCTTTCCATTGATATGATTTCGTTATTGTTACTTATATATTAACTGATAACAGTAACCGGCGAGACTTATCGCGGCTGCGCTCCTTCAGATCAGTGACACGCCCGTGTATAAATAATATACCTCACGATTCGTGTAGATATCATTGATCATAAAATTTGACTGACGATCGACGAATCTCCTATAAGACGCTCGCGAGATAATGTGCACGCTATCTAAAAAAATACTTTAGCCCGCGCACCATTCAGAGATATTTTTATATCGGCGTAAAACTCGTACGAATGTTGCCACGAGCGCGTTATATCCGCATTTCGGACACATTCGCAGACACGCAAATACGACGATAAAGTGCTTAATCCTCTCTATAGCGATGAATTTTCGCGTTTGTGAATAATTCGTAAACATAAGATAAAACGTATGAAAGCTACGAAACGATTGTCACAATAATATTTGATTATTCATCTATACATTTGAATGATTACTGTATTTGTTATATTTAATTTATTTGTTATATTTAATTCGTTATCTTTATATTTAATTCGTTTAATATTTATATTCGTTATATTTATATTTAATTTATTTGTTATATTTAATTCGGAGTATGTAGTCACGCGTCTTTTTCTTGTTCCAAAGAAATTGATATCAGATCGAAGAAAAAAACCAGATTTCGGAGTACAGGCTTTTGCTTTTTCTTTCTATTTTTTAGAAAACGAAAGAAACGTGATGCACGAGAGGATTCGCGGCACTACCTCGTCGTCGGCGAAAATTATGTCGCGGAGCGAAAATAGGGAGACCAGACCGTTCCTTGCGACGCATGCGAGCGGCGCGCTCTTATTTACTTGTAACCTAGAAACGCTCGATCGAAAGAAAAATCGGTAGTTTCTCCCGTGGAGAAAAATCGAGTCTTCCGCCTGGAGATGAAACCGTTCCAGTTTCCCATGCGTGACCCACTGGCTAGGGTGCACTCTCGTGCGCCTCTCTCGCGATACCGCTCTCTATGCAATCGCAATCGCATTCGCCACCTCTCAAACCGGCAGAGATCCCTTCCTTCCCCTCTCTCTTCCTCTGGCCCGAGAGACGGGCGTTTTCTTATTCCTCTCGTGCCGATTTTCTAATCTCGGCCTATTAGCGCTGTACTCTCGAGTGTTTCTTATATGCCGATGTGATTCCTTCTGGGTCGAGACGTTTCGCGTTAAAAAGGATGCAAGATCGGCATTCTGGGACCCCTTCTTCGTGACATGAATCATGCGTATCATTATCGTAAAGTCGTAAATGACTGTCGTATACACAAATAGGAATATTTGATAATATTCGACGTTTAATATGTATTTGTGATTACTAATTTTTACTTAGCCATTCCTTTTTGCAAATATAAAATCTACACTGTTAGGTATTAAAGGAATAATTAGAGCAACTCAGTCCCTGTCTTATTTGAGAAGCTTATTGTTCCTTCTGTGTGATTAAGTTACAAAACTTAAGGCCGTTGTGAATTATACGAAAGGGTTAAAGCCTCTTTGAGTATTTACTTTAAATTGATACGATACCATAAGAATTGTAAACAATCGAAGCCTCTGCTCCCCGAGGAGGTTATCGCTGGGTCCTTCTTTGCCGCATGGTACTATGACCCTTCGTAGTAGATTGGAAATCCAAATAGTGGTCTTAGGAAGAAGAACTTCTATATGCATGTCAAAATGTAAATCAATCCATTTCTATAGTTAGTTTCAAAGTAAATAACATCCATATTGACGTATGCATTTAGTAAATAATGAACTTCAGTCAAATTTAATTTTTTCTTGAGTTAAATTATTTAACTTATTGTTTTAATTAAATTAACTGAATAAGAACAGTAACGATCTATATAAATGATTAAAAATAACTCAAATTTGATATAATTTGATATTATGAATTTAACAGTGTGTATTTGAAAAATCAAAGATACGATATTGAAGTATTCAGATATAAATATATTGAAGTATTCAGATGTAAATATGTAAGTACACTTGCGAGATCGCATAGAAAGCATCGCAAGGGTAAAGTAAAAAATATTGAGAAAAACGAAGAGTACATTGAGAAAGACTGAGAATATACAACAATTTAAGATAGAATAACAGTCGGTATTTCAAGTATTACATTTATATAGGATAAACTCGAAGTAAAAGACTATGTACGACAGACTTTTAGGAGACTAGGTAAAAGAGTTTTCTTTTTTATATATTTATGGCAGACACACACATACTTATTTCTCTCCGTGAAGTAATCGAGCTCGCATGTTGCGGTTTGCGCGAGAGCGAGAAATTCGCATAGCTACTTCGAAATCTACGACATTTCGCCGCAGCAGCAGACGCCATAAAAGTCTCCCGATAAGTGGATTTCTCCCGATGTTGTTTTTACAATGTTGCATTCAAAACACGATCTCCTTTCTTTCTATTCATGGAGATGATCATTGATTGTTCTGTTCGAAAGGAGGCAAGACTTCCATGTAGATGCCTTCTACTCCCATGACATCTTGCAAATTGTTTTAGGTGATCAACAATTTGATTTAATCAATAATTTATATTTTAAAAGAAAACTGTGTTAAATATTCCAAGCGGTTTCAAGAAAATCTGACACATGGATAATTGAATACGATAAAATTTTTGTGAACGCAAACTTCGAAAATAAAAATATTTAGAATGAATATAGGTATATTTAGGTATGTATATCTTTCGTATACATGAGATCAATATAATGCTATAAAAATCGCTAAAATTTTAAGATAATGTCATTGATGAAAATACAAAGAAATA